CACTCAGCTGACCCTGAGGACAGAGGTAAACCTCCAAGTGGCCTCAACAACCCTCTAATAGGATGCAAATGGCCAGCTGTCTGCCAGGAGGATCCATCCTTCCGTTCCCCACCATCCAGTCAGAGCTGAAGAAGCTTCTGGGATGAGAAGTGAGGCGTCTTCAAGGAAAAACAAAGAAAGTCCAGTTGCCTCTTGAAAAAAAAAGCACCTTTGGGTCATCATTTCTTTTTACCTTCAGGGTGTTATGCGAGGTGACGCTAACTCGTCTCCGCCCACCGTCTTCCAGCTGCATCTCTGAGTATAAGTCCTCTTCGTCTTCTTCCATAATGTCCGACAAATCGGACCCTCGGCTGCTTTCCGTGTGATATTCCTCCCCATGGCAATAGTGGGGCTGTGGGAGAGGAACATAGAACAGAGAATCATAGGGTGGCAAGGGACCTCTGAGGTCTACTAATCCAATCCTCTGCTCAAGGCAGGAGGCCTTATACTATCTTGGCCAAGTGCCTGTCCAGTTTGTTCTTCAAAGCCTCCAGTGATGGGACATCACAACTTCTGAAGGCTGAGTTATTCCACTGATCAATTGTTCTCACTGCCAGGACATTTCTCCTCTGACGTTCCCCTCTGATGGACTCTCATCGTTTTCCCATCGTTCTGCAAATACAATTCTAGATATATGGTCTTTTAATCATATTTTTCCAATTGAAAAAGCATGATTTTTTCCCCTTTGTTTTTCTCCACGCTGAAATTCATCTTGTTGGATTGGGCCCATTGTTCAAGTTTGTTGAGATCTTTTTGGTAAATCTTCTCCCTCTTTCTTGAAAATAGATTAAAGAGGAAAGAGATGCTGAACCTCTAAAGCATCTTTCTTAGGGAAAAGGTAAGGAGAGGAGGGTGGAAGGAAGAGAAAGAGAAGGAGAAAGGGTAGGAAGAAGAAGAGGAAGAGGAGTAGGGGAGAGGTAAGGGAAGCAGGAAGAGGGAAGGAGAGGAGGGTGGAAGGGAGAGAAAGAGAAGGAGAGAGGGTAGGAAGGAAAAAAGGAAGAGTAGGAGAAGGAGAAAGGTAAGGGAAGAAGGAAGGGAAAGGAAAGGAGGAAGGAAGGAAGTAGAGAAGGGAGGGAGAGCGAAAAGAAAGGGAAAATGAGGTGGTGTTAAAACAGGTGGAAGGGATGGTAAATAAAGCAACCCAAACTGTATATTATAACCTATTAAATGGAAGAACAAATATATAAGAATGACAAATGTAAAGAAGAAGAACGATTATGTGAATGTAAACTTACAATGGTATGTAAGAGAATAAAAAAAATTGGAGAAAAAAATAAAGCATCTCTCTTAGGAATTATGGTTTTGCTCTCCTGACCCCATTGCCAAGGAGATGCCCATTACCTGCTTCCCAAGTTCGGAGCCCTTCAAAAAGTCATCCACCGAAGCTCCTTTTCGCTTGACCCTGGGCGAGTCGTAGCCGTCTTCTTCCTCATCCGAGTTGGGGTACTGCATCGCGTTGCTTCTTTCTGGAAAGGCGGGCCTCCTCTCCATCTGTGGGGTTCCAGGAAAGAAAAGGGGATGAGAAAAAGGAGCCACTCCCAGGGTGCCAAGGGGGCAGAGGTGGCACCTGCAGCTTTCTAAATGGAGATGGTCGAAGGGAGATGCTGTGCTAACACGTTTGCATCCATGTTTTCTACCCCTGGGGTAGGGGTAGGACAGGGGTGGACTCCTAACTGGTTTACTACCAGGTTGCTGAGAGGGCGCTTTGCACATGTGCCGCCTGCCCTTTCATGTGCAAAATTATGCCAGCATGCACAGAAAGATGCCGGCGACAGTAGAAGATACCAGGGAACCAATTCCACCGACCCACGCCACCATATCGCTACAGGTTTGCCCAAACCAGTCCAGACACTGCCTTAAGGTCTGTGATGGTGAGCCCATGGTACACATGGATGAAGCGGCATTCAGAGCCATGCCACCTGGCACATGTGGTGTCGCCTGTTTCTCTTCTGGGTTCTTGGTGCGCGTGTGACGATCGGCTGGCCTTCGTGCAGTGCTGGGAATTGGAAGAGCTGGTCTTCCGTTTTCCGGCATGAGCGTGCCTGCTGGCCAGCTGATTTTGCATACCCGCATGCGCGTCAGTAAACGGAAGACGAGCTGGGCGGTGCACATGCCCTGGAAGTTCATTTCCCAGCATGCGCATGCTACTCTTCCGGGTTGTGGCCCTGACGAGTGCGTGCGCTCCCTTTTTGGCACTCAGTGCCGAAAAGGTTCACCATCACTGCCTTAGGACTTCATGCATAGGAACAAGCGATAGGTGAGGTTAAGCATGAATATTCATAATTAGCAAGCCTTCGGTACGGGTGGGCCTTCCCTTACAATGCTTTGTTTAGGGGCCGTTCAAAATTTGCAACAGCACTGGAAAAATAGCAATAGCAATAGCAATAGCAGTTAGACTTATATACC